ACATGGGTTGGACTTTACTGTAAAGCAATTGTCACATCCAGAACACTGAAATGACTTTTCTCATGTTGTCCTCTGAGGTTGGATCAGTGTTGAAGAGGACCCAAAGCACTTATGACATTTAGAACACGGATATGACTTGTGTCCTGTGTGACTCCTCCAGTGAACTGCAATAAAAACTTTCAGTCAATTAAGACACCCAGATGTTTGGTTTCCCATGTGACTGAGTTGTATTCACGAAGACCAGCATGACCGAAAACGTGATTCATCAATCCACCTGTACAAAAAAAAATAAAAAAATCAGAATTCTATATAAAGGGCTAAAGTTGGTTTTTATTTTTAATGATCATTATAATAAATATATCTTATATATCATCGCAGGCTGTGTCAGCATTATGGTTGTCCTCAAAGGGCCAGTTGTAACTGTAAGACTAGATGTCCAGAGCACCTCACCCCCCCCATTACATCAGATGCCAAGAACCCCACACCCACCCTAACATCACCGTGCACCTCCTTTGGGGGCAGAGCGGGAAAGCAGAAAGTGCAGGGTCTGGAGGAGGACCAGAGGAGGAGTGGAGTCAATTACCAGAGTCTGCTGAATGCTGAGACCAAGGGAGGTGAGAGATGAGGGGATGCTGCAGCTGCACTGAGAGGTGCAGGATTTGGCAGAGGAGTTCTTTTCTCCTCTCTGCTGCCGACTCTGAGACAAGGTGGGGGAGGAGACAAGGGGGTACCTGCAGGAGAGGTGCAAGGGCCACATGAAATAACCTGGATGGCAGGATCCGGATACAGGTGTTTGACACCTGTGTTATATATATAGAAAGCATATGTACATCATCATTTGTATATATATATATATCAGTGATGGCGAACCTTTTTGAGCCCGAATGCCCAAACTGCAACACAAAACCAACTTTTTTATTTCAAAGTGCCAACACTGGAATTAATCACTTGCCTACCGGGCACTTTCTACCCCCTTCCTGCCCAGGACAATTTTCAGCTTTCAGTGCTGTTGCACTTAACAATGACAATTGTGCGGGTCATGCAACACTGTATTCCATATGCAATTTTTATCATTTTTTTTCACACAAATAGAGCTTTTTTTTTGGTGGTGGTATTTAATCACCACTGGGTGTTTTATTTTTTGCACATAAATGAAAAAAGAGCAAAAAATTAAAAACATAAAAGGTTTCCTTTGCTTCTATTCTAAAATTTTGCAAACAGGTAATATTTCTTCTTTGATGTGCGTTGGTGAGGATCTGCACTGCTAGGCAGCACTGATTTCGGGAGGCTGGCGCTGAGCAACACTGAGTTTTATTCTTTGAGCGGCACTGGTGATGCACTGATAAGGAAATGTGGGCACTGATAACCGGCATGACTGATAGCACCAACTGGAGGCACTGACAGACTGAGGCACTGACTGGCAGAACTGATGGGCTTCATTGATGGGCACTCACTGATGGGCGGCACTGGCTGGGTGGGCGGCACTGATCAAGTTGCACTGCTGGGCAGCACTGACAGGCGACCCGTCTTCAATGCGCTGACTGAGGAACTGATGGATGACACTGCTGGGCGGCATTGCTGGGCCCTTCTCCTCTCTGAATGGCACTGATAATCAGTGCCCTGATTATTAGTGCAGATTTCCCGTCACATTTGCCGGTTATCTGCAGTACTTTCTTCAATCTGTGACAGCGTGCAGCCGATAACCAGAAACTCTATTTACACTGTGATCAGCTGTGTCATTGGATAGAGTTGATCACGTGGTAAAAGGCTGCTGTAATTGGCCTTTTTCTGACACGTGACAGACTTTCTCCCATGCCTCAGGATCATGCAGGTTGGTCATTGGCAAACTTCAGACACTGGACATGTGATCACTGGAGCAGGGGAAAAGGCCTTCCCAGAACTAAGGCACAGCGTGATGTGATCTGGACACAGCGCAGGGTGAACCTTGCCACAGGGTTCGCGTTGTGGGATGACTACCAGAACTAGACCTTCCGTGCTGTAGCCATCTTTTGGCTATAGCATGACGGCGTACGTGGCAAGCAGTTGAAGCCCACTTGCCTACAGGGCACTTCTACCCCCTTCCTGCCTACCAGCACTTCTACCCCCTTCCTGCCTACAGGGCACTTCTACCCCCTTCCTGCCTACAGTGCATTCTACCCCTCCACGAGGTGCATCTTGCATGGAGCCCCAGTGCCTACAGGGAGACTGACACCCCTCTTTGCCTCTACAGGGCACTTTCTAACAATTCCTGCCTACAGGGATCACTTTTACCCCTGCTTGCCTACAGGGCACTTCTAGCCCCCTTCCTGCCTACAGGGCACTTCTACCCCTTCCTGCCTACAGACACTTCTACCCCCTTCCTGCCTACAGGGCACTACCCCCTTCCTGCCTACTGACTGTGGGGTTCCTGGACAGGGGTCTTTAAAGAGCTCAGCCTACAGGTGCACTTCTACCCCCTTCCTGCCTACAGGGACTTCTACCCCCTTTTTGCCCACAGGGCACTTCTACCCCCTCTCTGCCTACCAGAACTTCTACCCCCTTCTGCCTACAGGTGTTCTACCCCTTCCTGCCTACGGACACTTCTACCCCCTTCCTGCCTACAATGGCACTTCTACCCCCTTCCTGCCTACAGGGCACTTCTACCCCCTTCTGCCTACTCAGGGTTCTACCCCCTTCCTGCCTACAGGTGCACTTCTACCCCCTTCCTGCCTACAGGGCACACTTCTAACCCCTTCCTGCCTACAGGGCACTTCTACCCCTTCCTGCCTACTGGGCACTTCTACCCCCTTCCTGCCTACAGGGCACTTCTACCCCCTTCCTGCCTACAGGGCACTTCTACCCCCTTCCTGCCTACAGGGCACTTCTACCCCCTTCCTGCCTACAGGCACTTCTACCCCCTTCCTGCCTACAGGGCACTTCTACCCCCTTCCTGCCTACAGGGCATTCTTAAACCCCTTCTGCCTACAGATCACTTCACCCCCCTTTCCAGATTTTATTTCCATCACTTTACACTTCAAACTAACAGGACACCCAAAAAATGGCTTCCGCACAAATAGGCACTTTACCCCCTTCTGCCTACAGGGCACTTCTACCCCCTTCCTGCAAGTATCACTTGTAAACCCCCTTTGTAGCCAGCCAAGAGTCTTTCAATTTCGATGTATAAGAAGTATTTTTCAAAACAGGTTCTTCCTTACAAAAGTCTTCCACTGAGATTTCTGGGTTGTCTGAGGCAGCACTGTCTCACTAAGGTCTATCCATAGATCAATTATGTTGAGGTCAGCAATTGTGAAGGCCATGGCAAAATTCAGTTTACGCCTCTTGATTTAATCCCACTGGATTTGAGGTGTGTTTTTGGATCATTACCCATTTGTAGAATGCCACCTGATCTTTAACTTCACTTAGGCAAACAAATGCATCAAGTTGACCATCCAAAATTTGCTGAAATTGTATTGAATCCACTTTTTCGGCACTGACTCGTGACATGGGCACTGATGGGCACTGATAGGCAGCACAACACAAAGGGATCCAACCCCACTAACAGTTGGCACAGATAGGTTCTTTTCATTAAATTCTGTGCAGCTGACTTCTTGGCACAAACGTGGCTGCTCATTCCGGCCAAACTGTTCAATGGGCAACACTGGTCGGTGGCACAGACTGGGCACAAAATGCTAGGCTTGCACAGGCGATGTTCATTTGCAAAGGCGGCACACGGAGGGCACAGGTGGGTGCACTGAAGAGGCACAGGTGATGAACTTGTGTGTGGCACTGCTGGGCACCGTATCACTTTATCAGTGGAATGATGATTGGTGCTGATCCCCGCTCTGCAACTGCTGGTTTTGGGCAGGGATTTCCTGCACGATCTGACACCGTGAGTTTTGAATTGCAGCCGAACAATCCTGCGACTGTTGCATTTCCCGGTGAGTCCCTGATGTTCATTTTTGCTTGGTGATCCAGTGGTAAAAGGCCGCTGTCTTGGCTTTAACTTCCACTGTTCCTGATGACTGCCATTTCTTTAATTACATTCCCGAACAGAGGATACTGACATCTGGTAAAAAGGCGCTTTGCTATCCCCTGATATAGCCTGCGCGCCCCTCGCGCAGGTGAGCGCGTTCTGGGAGGACGTCATATTACGCCCTTCTCCCAGAACTGGCCGAAGAACCGCAGTGCAGCCATCATTCGGGCTATCTGCGGTCGGCAAGTAGTTAAAACCTCTGGCAGAGTGTCTGTGTAGCTTCCAACCCAGCAGCTCATTCCCATCCACGCTGAACACGTCGCCCCTGGCCCGGAGCAGTGTGGGAGCCTCTTCCTCTCTTGCAACGCCATCCCCGCTACATCACCCCAGGTGCCAGATCCGCATAGGAGCCGTTTCCTCTCATCCATGCCCACCCTGGCCCAGAGACATGTGGGAGATGTAGTTCGATGTTGGGTCCAGTGTGGACGAGATCTGGATGGCCGGTCACTGTGCGTGGGAGTGTGCTCATCTTTCCTCTTCTTCCTGGCGTGCCCACTGAGATGGCTCTGCGTGCCATAGGTTCGCCATCACTGATATGATTCGCCATATATATATATAATATTTTTTTTTTTAATTAAACTAAATTGTATTGTTTAAGTTTTTAAGTGCACACAGTATATCCAACATTCAGCCCAGACAATGGAGTCATACATTCTAATGTATAAGCAGTTGTGGCAATGTTACAGATCATACAGAACAATAACTTGCTTTGTCTCTGGTGTCACTTTTACTTTCTATAAACAAATGAAAAGAGAAAAAAGAAGCAACGTAGAACAATTCACCTGTACATGGCAAGTAACTCTCTCCAGTACATACATAGATAGCTGACTCCGTTCAAGTAGGCCTGTGTCTACAGGATCATACACCAAGTATCGGCCTCCAATGTAGTCACCATTTAGTAGGGTACAGTTGGCCGGGTCCATTTTTAGGGGCCTAAAAAAGTTAAACCTATAAAAAGCTATGACAAATGAAGTATGGGGAGTGAGTACCGGAGTATCCAGCCAGTTCTGCCAGAGAGCCATAAGTCTCCTAGGAGAAGTTAGGTTTTCATGTATTATTATGGGGTTCACCTGCTCAATCCATGCCTGGTGGGAGTATGAGTTGATAACCAGAATGCTTGGATTCGATTTGCAGGTTCGTTCAGAAAGTACATCTAAGGATCCAAAAATTACAAGCTTAATCTCAGCTAGGGAGAGACTTTGTTCAATTAAAAGAAAAACTTCAAATCAGGTCGCGGTCAAACATCCGAACCTACAGAATGTTCTACAGATGAATGTCAAACACGAAGGACTGAGAGGTGTCTTACCGCATCTGAGTATGAAGATCCCGCTCAGTTACTAATATCCGGGCATGAGTTATATGATGAAGTCACGCGGGGGGGTTATTTTAGTAGTGAGACATGCAAAGACTGGTATGGATATTGAGAGGAAACCTCACATGCCAATTATTTCTTTTCTAAAAATGGTCATGGGGGTCCTAAAAATCCATATCAGACCCCTTATCCTAGCATGCAGCCGTGCAGGTCAGGAAATGAAGGAGGGAGGAGCACCCCCTCGTCCTGAACCATACCAGGGGTAACATGTCCTCAACAAGGGGGGGTGCCTTGTAGGCCAGGAGAGCCCCCCAAAGCAACTTTGTCCATTGATGGGGACAAGGGCATGTCTTTTTACCCACATCCTAGGATAGTTTGGTTGTGGGGTCTTGTAGCCTGGGGGGCTTATTGAATCTGGAAGCCCCTTTTAACAAGGGGGCGCCCACTAGATCCTGGCCCCCCACCTATGTGAGATGAGTAGGCGGTATAGGTATTGCTAGACCCATTCACAAAAAAAATGTGTAGTGTAAAAGTGATAGGAGTCAGTCTTTGACCAGTCCTTTATTAAAAATAAACATTTTAAAAAATGTCCCCCAAGTAGATCCAACATTATATAACCCGCCCCCCCCTGTGACATCGACCACACACTGTGATTGGTCAAAGTATTACACTTGACTTGTGGTTAGGTGCATTGCTTTGTCCAATCATAATGCATTGTCAGGGCGCAGTGCAATTGTGGGGCATGGTGAGCAAAACATGCCCACTGAACAGCGACCGTAGACTGGTTTGAGTTTGCTGAACAGCTACGAACGGCCCATGGCGTCAATATCAAACTTAGGTTCAACAGGAACATGAAGCCCAACCCTACAGAACAAACAATCAGTCAAACCACAAGAACAGCCACAAAACTCGGATTCTTTTTGTTTATTAATAGATCCATGGGAAATATCTAAAACACC